CTGTAGGCACCAGCTTACCATTTCTTCATGTGTAGCTGTTAAAAGAGCATGCATACAGATGAGTTCTAAGATGTCTGATAGCAATCTACTTACCCAAAGATCCCATTTGCATGTGACAAAGTAGATGCATATAGAGTCTGGGTTTCATTTTGTGCTTACATTGAGCCTTTAAGTGACTGCTGCTGAGCACATCCTTGGAATAACAAGCAGCATTTGCAACTTCATCCCCTGAAAGTTTATATCACTTCTGCTGGATTAACACTGTAGAAAGTTACAGGGAGTATTATAACATGTTCTACATTCAGATGAGTACAGAAAGGAATGGACGGCATTAAAGAATGCATGTCGCAACGATGCAACAGGTGGTGTGGCTAAAATCCTGGGCCACTAAATGAAGTAATGTTTCCATGGGTTATTAATGAAGCTGGGATTTCACCCTCAATATTTACTCCTAAGATTGACCCAAACAATTTTGTCAGACCTGTGGCTGAGCACAGCTCCATGATCATTACTCAGTGTCCTCACTTTCAACTCCATAGAATGGTTAAAATGGTATGGCAAAGTTTGTACCTCATAGTCTGTTTTGAACAGTCTTACATAACCAGTGGTTTTGGGCTGACTGAAACATTTGTGGACTGAATGCATCATACCTTGAGCACAGGTTGTATTTGATCCCATTTGATGAACTAATCCAGAGCTTCCATATGCTCTCATGGCTGTCTACGGTACAATATCAAAGAATTTTTTTGCATGAAGTCTGGTTGAATTTGGCCATGCAATGTCTGCTTTAGGGTTTTTTTCAATATTTTCAATTAATGGATACAACAAAACTTCACAGAAATGGAGGCTGCTGAGTTGAAGAACTCTGTCCTAGTTGAATAGGGTAGGCAGCAGAAAGCAACTACAAAACATATAACTGAGGGGGATTAGCTGTCCATTCACAAAGAATGGGAAGAGAAAACTTAGTACACTAAGATGTCTCACAGTATTACTGTTGCATGATATTGTATGTCACACTCAGCTGTGTTCACTAAATTAAAGGACAGACATTACATAATACATCTCTGCAACATAACTGGAGGCAATGCAAGATGAACGTATTCTGATATGTTTCTAAAAAAAGAATCCTGAAATGGTTAAGGGAATAAGAGTGCTTTCAGATACAAAAGTATATGTAGATAATTGCTCTCAATCTCCATGGGAAAGAAAAAAGGTTTCAGATGAAATGATCAACATCCCTGCCTTTGGTTATTAACAGGTATTTTTCTTCCTAAGTGTGGGAGGAAACGGGTAGTGAGTAACGATATTCTAGTTTATTGCTAATGCTCAGGCGCCTGGCAAAAAACCAAATCTTTGAAATTGCATAATCTATATCTAAAATCAAAGTGCAAGCAACAATCAATCACTTTTTCATTCCGAGGATGCTTGGATAGAAGACTTAATTGTTTGCTGATGAAGGGAAATAAGGAAATTCTTGTTTTAAAGAAAAGCTTAGTTTGCCACCAGCTTTGTTTGCTTTGAATTTGGATTTTTGCCCTTTTCTTCTGACATTGAATATTAGATCCAGCCAGTATCTGCACTTACTGCATTGTCAAATCAGTAATTATCATACTACATAATAATATAAGTAGTAATATCAAGTCCTTTATAACTTGATTTGTGATTAGGAGTAGATCAGTAATTTTCTGATGAAGTGTTTTTTTCTTGGAAAAGGCAGATGTGTTGACATCAAATATTTTCACAGGTAACATACCTGTTCCAATGAATGGTCAAAAAAACAGAAAGTTGTGATGGACCTCCTGCATCCTTGCTGGGAGTCTGGGGACTCCTGGATGCATTGCTTGAAGGAAGGCTTACATGGAGAACAGCCTGAGAGCAAAGGGCTTAAGAGCAAAGCCAAGAGCCTCCTGCTTCCATGTGACATGGCCACGAGACTGGCAAGATGCAAGCCCCAGATCCCAGCGTTTGACTGAGCCATAAGATCTGAATGTCTGCAAGCTCCCATCTCGCCCTCTCAGTCCATTGGGACAGCACATTAAAAATCATGAATTAAGATCAGAAATCCTCTTTGGAATGTAAGCATCAGTTCCACCCATTACAAGCAGGAGTAGGTGGGACCGTTTAACTGAGAAGAACCACACACAGAGACTTTATCTACTGTGTGTTTAAATACCATCCTGGAGATGGAAGATTTCAACAATTTTATGAGTTCTCCCATTTTTTATTACAAATGAAACTCTACATTTTTTTACTATCCATAACAATTAGAGAAGATAGTAAATAACGCCATTGCTCTTTGATCACTTCACAGAAAAGATAACTTCTGATGGCGGCATAGCTATCTGCCTGCTGTAGTTCTTAAAACATTTCACAGAGTTGGCAATTTAACCCAAATAATTTTAATTAACTAAAAGCAGGATAACACATAAATATCACAGGAGTAAAACAAAGACATATGTGATCATCCCAGGCATTTTACATTTTGCAAATTGTCTACTCATGCCAGTATGTCAGCCCATCAGATAACAAAATTACTGCATAAGGTAATACTGCTGTAAACTGAACTTTTTACTTTTCATCAAACAAAGTTAAAAATAACTGACAGATGGAGATTATAATAGATCAGGGAAACCACTGTGTTAATGCATCTCACAGTTTCCCAAACCGGACTACACATCTTGCTGGATTGGAGTTTGAATAAATTCATGATTGCCTGAACCCATCTGTGTAGACATACCCTAGATCCTGGCTGTTCATAGCCCTTCAAATGCTATTAAAACTAGGGAACTAGGGTGGAAGGAAATGTTCCCTGCAACACAGGTTAATGCAGTTGTAGTCAGTGGAAATGCTGGCGTCTCTGTGGTATGAAAAATGTGTATTTCAAATAAACGCATTAGTGCGATATTTACATATGCAAGAAAACAGTGGCATAGCATGAATAATTTTCCCTCTAAATAAGAATGTAAAAAACATCTTAACAGCCAATACTCTGAACCTTTAAAATAGTTTGAACACTGCATTATTTCTTATTATTTATCCCTCTGAGAAATTATACATTCTCATCTTTACTCAAAGACTTTAAACAGAGCAACACTGCTCTCAAGCATGTACTATGGTTATGACCATTATTAAGGTGACAACAGCAAATGGCATTACTGCATCATCATTTTGTCAGTAATTTACCCATATATCTCTTGACCTCTCTGTGTGTTAACTCAGTTGCTGGGTTAACACTGTCATAGAATCATAGAATCATAGAATGCTTTGGGTTGGAAGGGACCTTTAGAGGTCACCTAGCCCAACCCCCTGCAGTGAGCAGGGACAGCTTTAACCAGATCAGGTTGCTCAGAGCCCTGTCCAACCTCACCTTGAATGTTTCTAGGGATGGGGCCTCTACCACCTCTCTGGGCAATCTGTTCCAGTGCTTCACCACCCTCATTGTAAAAAACTTCTTTCTGTCCTACTGTAGAAACAAAAACCTGCTATGTAATCTCCCTCTATGTCATACTTGATCCATTGAGTGTTGTTTCAAGGCATTGTCAAAGGCATTAGGTGCTTGTCTATTGTGAAGGATCATGGTTTCACAAACACTCCAGGGAAAATTAATGGAAAGAGAGAACCATAGAAAACAGTACTTTTCTTTTACTTATTTTTCTTTTTTTTTATTTTTGGTGAGTTTTTTTGTTTGGTTTGTTTTCTGTGCATATAACAATCCAATAGATAATATCACACAAAAAGTCTGCAGGGGAGAGAATAAGCACATAGTCACTTAATGAGTTTGGTAAGTTTGAAAGTAGTTACAGTTTTACCACTTTAATTTCATCATCTGCAAATTTTAATGAGTATAGTATGCGTGATTCCTCAGAAGGAAGAGTGGCCTGTTCAAGATTAGCACCATTTCATTAATTTCATTTATACTCTTTGCACTCATCCTGCATTTGGCAGGCTTTTCCAAGTAAAGCTACCACAATACAAAAAGCTGTAAAATGAGGAAAGGAGTGGTTCAGTAAATAACTGAAGTCATCATTGAAGGAATATAGTGTTATTTATGACACACAGTTGAGTATTCAGTCAGGTCTCTTTTGCAAGCAATTGATATTCTCGATAGCCTGTGCATAATGTTGTTGAGAGACTTAGAAGGATGTTAACATTTCATTACTCTTGCCATTGATTTTTTTCTGCTTTCTTCACAACAAAAGTCAAAACGTGACCTCTTATTCCACTGAATTAGTTCCAGAGCACTTGGCATTATTGACCTCCTAATGAAAATTAATGATGGCTCTTTTGATTCAGTCTTTCAAGTAGGCTCACCAAGCACATTTAAGAAACAGGCATTTATTTCTCATATTGAAATGAAATAACACACTGTTAAGTAATGAAATGTACATTAATGCAACATTAAATTTGCAAATTTAAGCACATAGAATTCAAGAGATTTAAACTGCATTATCAGGAGCTGATGCTGCAAAGATTTAAGCTTGGCAATAATTTCAGACCTGGAAAGTCAATGACTTTTACAAGTAAAGATACATATACACTTAAAACGTTTCAGCCCCAGGCCCTACATTTATAGTAAAAATCTGGCAAGACTGAAATGCAATACTATGCAACAGAGACAATTGCACATTAGCTTAGGCATTTCCATGCTTTTCTTTTCCCTTTTAAACCTAGAGAATAATTCAAATTCTTTTCAGTGACTTTTTTCTTGAGTGGATTTCCTTCATACAGAGCCTTACACAAATGTTTATGCACAAACCTACTTCAGTCTATGGATATGGATCCCTTCTCCCTTGCATCTCTGTAAATAAGGATTACCTCTACCAGGTGAAACAGGAAAGGTGAATGGATTCATATCTGGAGATTGGGTGAAAGCTTGCCATTTTATCTAAACAACTTCCTATTCCTGGGAAATTCTCCCAGAAATAATTCCTGGGGAATTATCTAGGAAATCTGCAAGAATAATGAATAAACTAACTTACTTTCTTCCTCTTTTTCCTTAGACAACAAAGACTATGATGCATATCTATCCTATACCAAAGTGGATCCTGACCAGTGGAATCAAGAAACTGGAGAAGAAGAAAGATTTGCTCTTGAAATCCTGCCAGATATGCTTGAAAAGCATTATGGATACAAGTTGTTCATACCAGACAGAGATTTGATTCCCACAGGAAGTAAGTCATGTCTTTATGCTTGTGTGTTTCCTAAACAGCAAATGCTGTGATTACAATGATTGTTTTGGTATCTTTTCTATGACTACTCCTTCAGAATGTCATCTTTCCTTCCTCGTCTTAGGGAATGAAGCCACCAAACATACTTAATGTCTATTTTCCAGATAAGAGGATTATTTTTTAGTAATTGTATTGATTGAAGGTGAAACAGTGCAGAAAGGGCATGCATAAGTAAAGGAAATGAACGAGACTAACATTTTTGTACAGATTTCTGAGAGCTTGCATATCTAGGAATGAATACAGAGGTCTTTGTTTTCTGTTCCTTAGAGTTTGCCTGGAAAGATATCCAGGATTCTAAGTGTTTATTACAGAAATTCAGATAGGAAGGAAAAAGTTGTGCTTGGACTAAGGCAAGGGTTAAGTAATAACATCCACAGAAGAACAAAGTAGTGAATGCTGTTAGAGCCCACTGCAGATAAACATATAGCGGAGGTACTGGACCATTCTCGGAGACTGAAAATTAGAATTTATTCCAGCTAGTACAAGCAGATCTTTTTCATGTTTCTTTCACATATTCCAACCTACATACAGTAATTTTTTGTACATTGCTATAGTATTCTTCGTAACTTTAGTGTAACCATATAGACAGCTACTAAGTTCACTATCTTTTACTGGAGATAAGAAAGGTTGCTTGGTATAGACAAAGCACAACATCAGACATAATTGCATGGATATTTTTGAAATCCACAGCAAACTAAACATTCATTTGCAGGAGACAACACTGTTTTTGTGAATGTGTGTGGTGGGGGCATGAAATGAAAACAAGAATCTAACCTTACAGTACACCTTAGAGTATCATTTAGGTTTGAGACTGAGCCCCTGAAGCACAGTGTTGCTGCTCTGTTGCCAACCTGGGTGACTTTGCCTGTTTAAAGCAAAAAATGGTGATGGATACACTTGTTCCAATAAAGACATAGATATTGATACAAAACCACAGCTCATGAACAAATATTCCCAATCCATAGCACATGGGGGAACAGACGTTTTGCAGGATCCTGTGATCTAGAATGGTTGAGATTGGAAGGGAGGGACCTCTGGAGGTCATCTTGTCCAATACCCCTGCTCAGGCAGGGCCACCTAGTGCAGGTTGCCCAGGACCATGTCCTGGCAAGCCAACCTGGCATGTTTGCAAGTGATGTTTTTGCATATTTCAGTGAGCTCTTCTGGGAACAGCGATTTGCCCTCTATGGGAGCAGACTGTTGTCTTTGATTGATTTTTGAGCACTTGTCTTATTTTGTAGCCTACATTGAAGACGTGGCAAGATGTGTAGACCAAAGCAAGCGACTGATCATCGTCATGACTCCAAATTATGTGGTAAGAAGAGGCTGGAGCATCTTTGAACTGGAAACAAGGCTTCGAAACATGTTAGTCACAGGCGAAATCAAAGTGATACTGATTGAATGCAGTGAACTACGAGGAGTTATGAACTACCAGGAGGTCGAGGCCCTGAAACATACCATCAAGCTCCTCACTGTCATTAAATGGCACGGACCAAAATGCAACAAGTTGAATTCCAAGTTCTGGAAACGTTTACAGTATGAAATGCCTTTTAAGAGGATTGAACCCATCACACACGAGCAGGTTTTAGATGTCAGTGAGCAGGGGCCCTTTGGGGAACTGCAAACAGTCTCCGCAATTTCCATGGCTGCTGCCACCTCCACTGCTCTTGCCACTGCCCATCCAGACCTGCGCTCCACATTTCATAACACATATCATTCACAGATGCGCCAGAAACACTATTATCGAAGCTATGAATACGATGTACCTCCTACCGGCACCCTGCCACTTACCTCAATAGGTAACCAGCATACCTACTGCAACATCCCTATGACACTTATAAACGGGCAGCGGCCACAGACAAAAACTAACAGGGAGCAGAATCCGGAAGAGGGTCACACAAACAGTGCGATACTGCCCCTCTTGCCACGGGAGACCAGTATATCAAGTGTCATTTGGTGACAGAAATGCAAGGGGCTGTCAACCCCCTTGAGTAGGAGCTGAGTCTGCAGTCTGGTGCCTGGAACTACATCCTCGACTGCTGCTGTTAAACATGCATTACAATCGATAACATACGAGGAAAAACAGGGTCTTGTACATATGTTTTTTGCAATTTCTTTGTAGCATCAGTCTTCCTGTTTTACCCATGTCTCTTCCCATTCACATTTTCGACTTTGTTTTATACGTCATTGCAATTTGTATATTTACATTTTTTTAAATGAAGAGACTGCTGTATAGATAGGAAACTTTTTTGCTTCATTAGTATAGTTTTAGACTTTTTGTTTGTTTGTTTTTAACCTCTCTTGGGAATGCTTGGACAAAGCTATGTTGATATCAGAAGCACCATCCATTTTGTTGGCCTGCCTAGCCTGATTCCTGAAGGCCATGCCTGCTGCAGTTCACCTCGTTTGGAAAATATTTGTTCTTAGAAGGACCCCATCCCTCACTGAGAGCTCCAGTTTCATTTCTACTCCCGTAATGTGCACTGCTCCTTCCCTGCCCTTACAATGACCCCCACTTGGGGTAACACTACAGTCTGATCATCTAACATGTAACTTGGTAGATACCTGTCAAACAACAGAATATACCCAGTCTGTATCGGTTGCTTCACAGTAGTCACTACAGAGTGTGTAGAAACTAGAGATGGTTTGGGTTTTGCTTTCTTGGGTTTGTTTTTTTTAATTATTATTTTAAGAATGAGTTGATTGTATCCCTTTTATAAATATAAAAGCAAACCCTATTTTTAACACTTCCTGGAAATGTATTAATGTGGTTGTGGATTTTATTTTTAAGCATTTAACATTTTATTTTCCCCCTTTAAAAATCCTGCAAATAAGATCATTTGCAATTGTCAGGCAAGTAAGACAAGTGAGGCAATAGGCACCGAAGTGCAGAGAGTCCTGCTGATATTTACAGTGATGACTTCCAAACCAAAGGGGAATAAAAAGACAGTATTGTAGATGGTTTGTCACTTTGTACTATAGGAAGTATTATTTTCTGAAAAAGTAAGAGGAAAACATTATTTTGCTGTGGATTACAGAGTCCCCTTGTATTTTAATGTTCCAAAACCTGTATTTGCTTTAAAATGATATATTCAGGATTAAGAAATCTTCTTTCATTTGGTTTTAGCTTGTAACAATAAGTAAAACTTTATTAGTTTCAACATGATTTCAGTAAGAACTCAGGCAGAAAAAATGACATGAATACCAACAAATATAACTGTTTTCAGAATAAACTTTATTTATACAAAATTAATATTTAAATCAGACCTGGAAGCATTAAAAACAATTTATTCACTTTAATGAATAAATAAATTAGTTTTATTTTTTATGTATGATTCTATCTTTGAGGAGTTGCAAATAATGTGTGTACCACAGCTGCCAGGAAAGAATAAAAGAAACATCACGTTCACATCTGGACATCTTTAAGACAAATGAAATAAGCATGTTACTCATAAATATGTTTTAAATAATGGAAATGTCCTTTCTGGTTTTAGAAAGAGAAAGGAGCGGTATTGTAGCTCTACAACATATTCAGGCCAAGCTCTCTGGTATTCTCTGCTAGCAGAAGCAGAGGAACTGGGGTAGACTTACTGGTTGCAGCACACTGTCATATAGCTGTGGGTCTGTTTTACCCTGGCAGAAATGTAGCTGGTATCCTGGCAAACAGATGTTATAGGCTATTTATGTAATTAATTAGCTTTAGGTATTTTTATGGCAGCTGAATGATATTGGCCAATATAATGAATGTGTGGGGTTTGTTCATCCCGATTGTCACAATGAGAAAAGTACAGCTTATAATATTTTGGTCTTCTTAATAGGAAATGATGGGTAGAGAACGGGTAAACTGCAGTTTGGGGGATGTTTGTGGGAGTATTCCAGAACTGACAGCGTGGGAGGAAATGACTATGCTCCTGTTGTGAAAGTCAAGAAATCTCAGTATCTGCATAACAAGCTAATAGAGCTTTGGGATATGCACTGATTCTTATTTGCTTAAAAATGTTTATTTCTCTGACAATTTGCTCAAGTCCTTTTCTACAATCTGTTCTTTATTACAGTGTCTCCTTCTGGATATGTGCCAAACATCCACAAAATGGAAATGAAGCTTCCAGGCCAGATAAAATTTTAAGAGATCTTTGCACATTTGGTTATTTTCATAGTGTAAGAAAGCTATTATTTATTTGCTCTTACAGACACCTGTCAGGGACTGATGGCATTTTCCTTCATTCAGCTGGATGCCAAATACCCCAGTATCCTCTGAAAGCAATGCATTACTTTTCCCCTTTCCCTCTCCTTTACATGCCCTGGGGTAAAGACTGGGATGTGGAATAAATGTAGAATGTAACTATCTGACTGCAGTCACATTTAGATGATCAGTAGGTGTTTCCTTAACCACATGAGGAGTACTTTTTTGTTGTTCTATTTTTAGCATAGATTTAAGCACTTTGAATAGCATGATTCAGGGATTGATGGATACTATTTGATATTCACACTACTTAAAAATATTTTTTCTTATAATGTTTTGTCATAATATTAAACAAAAGGAAAACAAACAAAAAAAAGAAACAAACCACAAAACAAAACCTGAAATAAAAGGAGAAGCTGTCTGTGGCTTTAGAAACATTCCTCCTTAGTATTCCTTCTCTATGAACAGCTCTGTGTGGGGAACAGTGAAGGAAACTGTTGTGTGTTCACGTGCTCTATGTTTGGCAAAAGTTCTGTTGGAACGCAAAATAAAATGAAAAAAAAAACAAAAACAAACCAACAAAACTTGTCATTGCCCTAGTGCTTAGGCTCCATCCTTTTTTGGTGAAAGTGTTCCAGTTTTTGACAATGCAGCCTGAAGTGTGCATGCAATAGCCACATGTAAGTTTTAGCCATAAGCAAATAGCACTTTATTTTAAAAACTGCACAGTGCGATGATCGGAAAAACTTACTCTGCCTGGTCAATAACTTTGGGTCTGTATGTGGATTCTATGCACATGAATTATCCAAGTGTGGTGCTTTGTCTTTATAAGGCTCTCTCTAATCAGGGTAGTCCTTGATATAAAACTAAAGGACTCTGTTGCACAACCTGTGCAAAGTCAGTATGTATGTTCTCTGGACAGCACATATAGCTGGACAGAAATGGAGGACTGTACAGCATGCAGTTAATTATTTTGAAGGCAAAGTGCATTGCTGGGTCTGATTCTGTTCTCAGTTGCAGCAGTATGATTTGAGAGTAAATCTAATAAAGTTGAATGAGTGTAAGATTGATTTGTGTGGGAGGAGAAAATTGAAAAAGCAAAGAGAAAAAGATTTCATATTTGCAGTCTGTGACAAGCTGAAATCTTGGCCGCAAGGAAAGCAGCAGCAAAATATCTTCTGCATTTTAGTAAGGACCCAGTTCTCACCTGGCAGCCAACATAAAGCACTTTCAATATGATCTGGTTCAGAGCTAAATACGGTCAGGCTTAGATGCAAACTAAGATTTTTTTTCTATTACTGCCCAGCTGTGAAAACCATGTGTATGTTACATAATAGGTGATAATCAGCTTCAAAATAATTAGAAAGCTTGTTATACCCACCTGATTAAAATTCAAAAAGTTTTACTTGGATATTGTGCATTAATGCCATATTTAAATTATAGATAAAGCAGTGAGATTTGGGGAAAACTGGTCTGGTAAACAGACTTCCTTCATTCTTAAATTGAAAAAAAAAAAAAAAAAAAAAAAAAAAAAAAAAAAATAAAACAATATATCAAGCTAGCAAGCCTAAGAAGAGCTTAATTAAAATCCAAAGAAGAAAAAAGAAATCACAGCAGTAAAGTAAGCTCAAAAATAAGATAAAGGTCAATGGAGAAGAAAGGTCAAAATACCTACCTGTTTTTTTACTGTATTGTGGCTTTTTTGTCCTGCAGAGCTCTGTACTCTGGCTGACCTACATAAAGCAACTGGCTTTTTTGGGGCCCATCCAGACAGATCAGCAACACAAATATGTCCCTGTATGTCTAATACACTGCTGAATGATTTTGTACTTGTTGGTAGCCTAGCACAGAGTATTTTTGGTGTGTCTTCTATTGTTGTGATACAGAGGATGGCAGAAATCTGTCAGTACTAAAAAAAAATCCCTGTAACAGGCTTAGTTTGTTATCCAGAGTAATTATACTACTTCACACCCACCCCTTCTCTGATTTGCTGTTATTAGAACACTTTTTTTTAACCCCTTTCTCAGCTGAGCAAGAGTTTAATGTGAGTGGCATCAGAAAAAATGTAGGCAATTTCATAACAGCGAGTCTCCTTGTATAACGAATGCTGCAAGTTCCCTTGCATTTTTTCTGTATAATCACTATTCTCCTCGTAAACAGCCCACTGGGTGGAGGTTGGAGAACACCGCTGTGTCTTTCATTTGAGATTCACTGAATTTAGTATGGGTACTGAGCTGTCATTTGTGATGTAATTTTGCTGGGCAATTTCCCATCCACTCTGGCTGTATCCTCCAAGAAGACGTGTTGGCAGTATTGCACTTCTCCAGCTGGCCTCGGGTTGATTTTCCAGAACTTGAAGTTGTTGCCCTGAGGAGCAAAACTAATAGAAATGTTTCGGCTATTAAGAGTATTCCTATGCTTTTTGTTTGTTTAAATTCTGTTTAAGACAAAGTTTGACCTTTGCTCTGGACTAATAAGCTCTGCAGGTGAGAGGTCAAGAGTCCGCAGAGTCATGAAGCAGTCAGAGCAGAAATTACAAAAGCAGGCCTGATACCTTATTTGGAAAATGCATAAATTCTGAAGCTGCTCAGATTACTAAAAATTGAGTACATTGAGTTTGAGGGTTGTTGAAGGAAAATATTCTGTTTGTTATTACAACCAGCCTCATTCCAAAAGCTTATCAGCATTCATACATAAATAGCTGATATCCTAGATAATGTAATTTCAGAAACATTCAAGAGTCAATTAAAATACTTTTATTTTGGTGGTTTAAGAGT